GTTGCTGTAGTACAGTGGACCCCCGCTTAACGATCACCTCCCAATGCGACCAATTATGTAAGTGTATTTATGTAAGTGCGTTTGTACGTGTATGTTTGGGGGTCTGAAATGGACTAATCTACTTCACAATATTCCTTATGGGAACAAATTCGGTCAGTACTGACACCTGAACATACTTCTGGAATGAAATAATATCGTCAACCGGGGGTCCACTGTACTTGTGGTAGTAATAGTGGTGGTAGCTATGTGACAGTTGTGTTTATTGTTTTGAGGAATATTCTTGCTAATACAGTGGACCCCCGGTTTACGATCAGCTCCCAGTGCGACCAATTATGTAAGTGTATTTATGTAAGTGCGTTTGTATGTGTATGTTTGGGGGTCTGAAATGGACTAATCTAATTCACAATATTCCTTATGGGAACAAATTCGGTCAGTACTGACACCTGAACATACTTCTGGAATGAAATAATATCGTCAACCGGGGGTCCACTGTACTTGTGGTAGTAATAGTGGTGGTAGCTATGTGACAGTTGTGTTTATTGTTTTGAGGAGTATTCTTGCTAATACAGTGGACCCCCGGTTTACGATCAGCTCCCAGTGCGACCAATTATGTAAGTGTATTTATGTAAGTGCGTTTGTATGTGTATGTTTGGGGGTCTGAAATGGACTAATCTAATTCACAATATTCCTTATGGGAACAAATTCGGTCAGTACTGGCACCTGAACATACTTCTGGAATGAAATAATATCGTAAACCAGGGGGTCCACTGTACTTCAGAGATGATGAAGCTGCCTTTATTCCATTTAATTGTATTAGAAATAGCAATTAATGAGTATTCAAGGCTACATCTACAGAAATTGGGTCCTTTAATCATTAGGTGGGTGTCGTTGAATTTCATCAGGTGGTTGGCAGAATTCTGGTGTTGTACAAGCCATTGATGTTCTCCGACGTAAAATCAGTCCTCTTCCTCCTGGAGATTTTGCTGACCTGATTGTACTACTACCACCACAAGTACTACAGCTACTACTACCACCACAAGTACTACAACTACAACCACAAGCCTACATCTATACCACAGGTTCTACAACTACCACCACAAGCTCTACAACTACCACCACAAGTACTACAACTACCATGACAAGTACTACAACTACTATGAAAAGTACTACAACTATCACTGCCAATACTACAACTACCACCCCAAGTACTACAGCTGCCACCCCAGGTACTACAACTACCACCCCAAGTACTACAACCACCATCCCAAGTACTACAACTACCACCACAAGTACTGCAGCTATCACCACAAGTACTACAGCTGCCAGCACAAGCTCTACAACTACCACAAATTGTACAACTACCACAAGTACTACAACTACCACCACAAGCCTACATCTATACCACAGGTTCTACAACTACCACCACAAGCTCTACAACTACCACCACAAGTACTTACAACTACCATGACAAGTACTACAACTACTATGAAAAGTACTACAACTATCACTGCCAATACTACAACTACCACCCCAAGTACTACAGCTGCCACCCCAGGTACTACAACTACCACCCCAAGTACTACAACCACCATCCCAAGTACTACAACTACCACCACAAGTACTGCAGCTATCACCACAAGTACTACAGCTGCCAGCACAAGCTCTACAACTACCACAAATTGTACAACTACCACAAGTACTACAACTACCACCACAAGTTCTACAACTACCACCACAAGTTCTACAACTACCACCACAAGTTCTACAACTACTACCCCAAGTTCTACAACTACCACCACAAGTTCTACAATTACCACCACAAATTCTACAACTACAACCACAAGTACTGCAGTTACCACCACAAGTACTACAACTACCACCACAAGTTCTACAACTACCACCACAAGTACTACTACCACCACCACAAGTACTACTACTACCACCACAAATACTACTACCACCACCACGAGTACTACAACCACCACCACAAGTACTACAACTACCACCACGAGTACAACTACCACCACGAGTACTACTACCACCACCACAAGTACTACTACCACCACCACGAGTACTACTACTGCCACCACAAGTACTACAACTACCACAAGTTCTCCAGCTACCACCACAAGTACTTCTGTTACCACCACAAGTTTTCAAACTACTACCACCACAAGTACTACATCTACCATCACAAATACTACTACAGTGGAACCCCGGATTTCGGCCGTAATCCGTTCCAGAAGGTCGGCCTAAATCTGAAAAGGCAGAAAACCGAAGTAATATTTCCCATAAAAATTAATGTAAATGCAATTAATCTGTTCCAGATGTCCAAAAATATTAAAAAAAAATACATTTTTTAAAGATTGAATATAGTTTTACATACACAAAACAGTGAGAAGTAAATAAAATTACTAATGAAATGGATAAATGAACATTTAACATCACATTAACCTTTATTGAAGATTCTTGTTGGCATATGGAAGACAGGAAGGAGGAGAGAGGGAGGACTGATTATTGTTTGGAAGGGGAATCCCCATCCATAAGGACTTCAGGTATCAAGTCCCTATCTGGGGTTACTTCCATTCTTTGTGTTTTACGGGCACTAGGACCAGCTTGAGAGTTACTGCACTCTGTCGCACAAAAAAACTGTCCAGAGAGGTCTGTTTCTGGCGTCTCTCTAAGATTTGCCTGAAGTGGGACAAGGTTTTGTCACTGAACATGTTGCAGATATGGCTTATTTCAGCTTAGTCAGGGTGATATTTCTCCACAAAACTTTGCACCTCCCTTCACTTTGCACAAATGTCCTTAATTGCTGAAGAAGGCACCTTCTTCTCTCTCTCTTCCTCCTCCAGTAAACCAATTTTCTCAGCTGTGGTCTGTTGCTGTTGCAGATGAAGGTCTTGCAGCTGGGCCCATGGTGGCTTATTTTGCAGTCGCACTCGATAAACAACCACAAAAAACAATGGATTATAAAATGTTTGGATGAATGCACGGTGTGTTGCTCACTTATTGAGAGAGACAGCCAGACTGACTCACGCACGTGGCATGGCAGGTGGACGCATCGAATATGGCTGATTTCCGAGTTGCCGGCCGAAATCCAGGATAGAATTTTGGTCAAAAAAGCGGCCGAAATCCGATTTGGCCGATATCCGGGGGTCCACTGTACTTAAGATGTTTTTACAGTATTATGCTTTGCACCTCTGTACCTATATACGTATACCCTCTGTGTCCCTGTGTTGTTTATAATGGCTTGACAAAGCTTCTAGAGAGCAAAACATTGCCACAATAAAATGTCGCATTAGTTGAGCTTTTGTCCTTTTGCCTAAAAATAATTTTCTTGTTTGCTCATGATTATTTTTCCTATCTTGATTTAAGTATTTTGGCTGTTTATTTTTCTAGTACCATTTTGTTTGCAAAATGTAAGAGATCATTATCATGTATATCAGCCTGGTTGACCAGGCAAGCACCACACAAGCCTGGCCCATGGCTGGGCTTCTGGTGGTAGAAAAACTCAGAACACATCAAAGGTGACATACAAAGGTAGTTGTTGCTGTTTACAGTTGCTTTGTTAGTTTAGCAATCATTTAGTGGCTTGGATTCTTTATTTTTTAATATGCAGTACTGTGTTATTTTCCATTTTTTGTTTTAGTTCTTCATCCTTTCTTGAAAATACCAGATTTAGTGTTGATGGTATTGGTTTTGTCTTTTCTTTCTTGAGACAATTCTGTAATGTACAGATCTCTTAAAAAAAAAAAAATATTGGAATCACTCAATGACTTCGTTTATAGTTCCTTTAGTGTATTGTGCAGCCCTTATACGTATATTGTCAAATTATTCTCTCCGCTGCTTTGTTAAATGGTGGGTTGGAGGGCATTTTTTATAGTTTTTCTTTATTTTGGATTTCTGGCATTAAAAGAATTGCTAGTATTTTTATCTTTTCTGTAAGTGTACTTTTTTTTTTATCAATATTGTTAATCATCATTGAATTATTATTGAATAGATCTTCCCTAGTTATGTTACTGTAGCTTTCTTGTTTCTTTAAATACCTGACTTTCTTTAGTAATTCTTCCAAATTCTATACCTTAGGCTTTGTCTGATCCACAAATTAAAAAAATATAATTAGCAGATAGGATATATTTAATGTTTCCTAGATATTATATTTTATTGGTTGGAAGCCAAAAGGCTAACAAATAGGATAATACAAAAAACTGATATCGAAGAAAACCTTTATTATTACATCAGAGATACACAGTAGTGACAAGTTGGTAAATTAGACACGTGCAACACCTTGTCTTTATTTTAAAACTTTTTGCTAACCAATGGCTTTTAAAATTTTCCACATACCTAATTTGTCAAAGCTTGTTACACAATTTTGCTCAGTGATGACTTAGAAAAGCTCATCATTGAGCAAGATATGTAACACATTCTTGCTTTTCTATAAGTGTCTTTGTGCTTCCCAGGTATTCTGTTGGTAGGAAATGCAAAGTTGACCAGGTTGAAATTACTACTTGGAAAGAGATGTTAAAAATCTTTCATTGCAGGCATAGAAACACTTAAAAAATATTGTTCAGTAGGTACTGTGATTTCAAAAAGATATGCAGTATTCAATGAGGTTGTAAGTTAAATTAATTGAAATGTGGGGATACCATATATTTAATATTAGAACATTGGTAATGCTGGTGGTCTAAGACTATTATATAACTTATTAGTAAATGCCAGAAATATTGTTGATACTTTGATCCATAAATTTGAAGTAGATATTAAGTTTTGAAATTTTTTTTGTTTAGGGTTTTGTAGCTGTTGAATAATGAATCTGCAGTCATCAACACCCTGGTTGTTCAAGGAATTTTCTGTAAAACCAGAGGCAATAATATAATTTGACCTCTTGAATTAAAATGGATCTACATTAGAGTATCATTTGAACCCCTGCATCTAATTAATATGTACATACTGTACACTATAATTTCATTATTATAATTGTTTTTTGTCTTTTACAGGTCCTTGGCTGAGTGGAAGCCTCTCAGTCCAATAATGATCATGTCAGACATGGCAGGTCCTGGACTTCAGGTATTGTGATAAAAACAGTGCCTACCATTATGGCAGATTATTCTTCACCACCACTTCAGGATGGAGGAGAATTGGGACAGATGGCATCAACAACCTCAGCTTCAGGCCGCTTGCTGCAAAGTGACTGCAATGTGCCAGATTCACTGGTATCAGCAGCCTCACCTTCAGGCCACTTGTTGCAAATGGAGTGCAAAGGGCCAGATCCACTTGTATCAGCAGCCACACATTCAGGTCATATATTGCAAACAGAGTGCAGAGTGGCAGATCCACTTGTATCAGCAGCCACACCTTCAGGCCACTTGTTGCACATGGAGTGCGATGTGCCGGATCCACTTGTGTCAGCAACCTCTCCTTCAGGCCACTTGTTACAAATGGAGTGTGATGTTCCAGATCCACTTGTATCGCCAACCTCACCTGCAGACCATGTGTTGCAAACAGAGTGCAAAGTTCCAGATCCGCTTGTATCCGCAGCCTCACCTTCAGGGCACTTACTGCAGCTGGAGTGCAATGTGCCAGATCCACTTGTATCAGCAGCCTCATCTTCAGGCCACTTGTTGCAAATGGAATGCGACATGCCAGATCCACTTGTATCAGCAGCCTCACCTTCAGCTCACTTGTTGCAAATGGAGTGCAGTGTGCCAGATCCTGTGGTATCCTGTCATGAGTTTCCAAATCAAGGACCAGCACTGCCAAAAGACTTGCAGGAGCAAGGACCAGTGCTCCCCAAAGACCTTGGAGAGCAAGAGGAGCAAACACTGCCAAAAGGTAAACCGAAACATGGACCAACATTATCTCTTCAGACACCTGTTGCAAGTGCTATTCATACCATGTCTCTTTTACAACCTGATGATCTCTTGGTGTCTGAAATTTCCAGCAGACTTACAACTGAGGTAGCTTCATTTGGTTTAGAAAGAACATCTGTAGGTGAAGATGCACAAGCTACCAAATCCTTTCCTTTGGATGAGGCCTTGGGAAAGGCTTCAGACCCTCTTGAACTGCATTTACCTTTGACTTCAGATACTTCTGAAAAAACATTTGTTGGTAGTGAATTATGCAAGAAAATTCTGTCTTCTGTGACTGAAACATCAGAGGTGCCAGGTAGATCTTCAGCAGAGACTGATAAGTCAACAGATCCTATAGCAGCCACAACTGAAAAACTGGGTTCTGTTGTTGGTGCTACTTCACATGAAAAGTCGATTGGAATTGCAGGCAGTGAATTGTCAGTTAGTGTGGCAAAGTGTGTAAGTGTAGTTTCAGCTCAAACTGATAAACCACTTGTTGGAGCTAAATCATCTGAAGAGTATCCATCAGACAGTTCCTTACTCTCAGAACAAACACCATCTAATGTGGTGGGCCAATTGCAGAAATCATCTGCAATTGATTGGGTCTCAACTCAGCCATGTCTCACATTAGATACTGTTGAAGATTCTCATTTATTAAAACCCTTCTCTCTATCAGAAGATGAATTAGTTTCGCCTCTAGATTCAATGAAAAAGTCAACATCACAGCCTGTTGCATCATCAGACCAATCAACACTGCCCCCTGTCTCAAAAGATGTTATATCCCCTCTTCCTTCAACCAAAAATTCTTCATCTGTTATTACTGTTGACAAAAAGTTGCCATGTTCTTCAAGTCAGTCTTCAGAAAATGATAAAAGCACATCTGTGTTACCTTTGCAGAAGGATGAATTGCCTCCAGGTGTTTCAGGCTCAAGTGGCAGCCAGGATATCCAAGAGTGCTTCCAAGTTAGAAGCAAAAGTCATGATAACACATGTGACACAGAGAATGGTTGTGAATTAAATTTAGGAGCAGATGTCAGCTCAGAAGATAAGATTGTAAGTGAAGGACTCTCATGTATGAACAGAATGTCAGAGGAATCAGAAGTTGTGAATAGTGAACAAGAAATGCAAGCTGATGAACCAGGTGAATGTTGGAATGATGTGGACTCTTCTCGAGAAGCTGCAGCCAGTGGTACACTGCCCTTAATAGTTGATACTCACACTTTAAGTCAAGCTGATGATGAACATTCATCTGTCATTACAAACAGTGTAGCACATAGTAATTTAATATCTTCATCAGTATTATCTTCTCCACAGTCAGGTGCTTCAAATGTTGATACTGTGCCATTACTGGAAACAGAGCCTCTTCAGCCAGTTACTATTGGCAGTAGCTTACAGCCTTTAGAAGAGGTTCAGGAAGCCTCTGTGCTGGATGATCCGTCCTTTGCAGCTGATCTGGCTTTAATAGACAGCAGTGCAGATGAAGCAGACAGTATTGGGGGTTTAGTGATTAACAGTGTAATTGGTGCAGCTGATGGAGTAGTTGATTTTCATCCTGATGAGGAAATGGAAACAGACAGGGAGTTGACTGATATTAGTGCTTCTGCACCACAAATAGTGGAAGGAAGCTGTGATAATGACTCTAGTGATGAAACTGGACCTAGTGCCAAGAGGATGAGATTTGAAAATGGAATTAGTGATTCGGAGGATAAAGTGCAGGGTACAAAGAAAGTTATTATTAAAGTCACACCAGTGAAGAATGGACATGGACTTTGGGATGCTCATAAACTTCAAGAAATATTGCTAGCTAAGGGTACCATTTTGTTACGACTCCATGCATCAACAGATAGTTATGAAATGTTTGAACCTGATAAGGATGAGAAAGAGGTTGATTTTACTGGCATTATAGCTGAGGCCAAAGATGAAGAGCATGACCATATTCTTGGTCTTGCTAACCTGGAGCCTGATGCTGATGTGTATGATCCTCTTGCAATAGGTGCAACACATGCTAGTGAGCATGCCTCTCCACCGCATTATAACAGACCTTTCCCCCACTCTAGAGGTCGTTCCACTGCACTTCAGCCAGCTATGTCAAGACCAGGATTCAGGCACCTACAATCTCCTCCACATGTAAGAAAAAAAATGTAGTTTTTTAGTAGTTTAGTGCTTTGGTTCTTGACATGATTAATAATTACTGTATATTTTTATATGAATTGTTTTAATGTCATTGAAAATTTGAAATGTTGTTGTGGAAATTTGTTAGTTATTGGTGTATAAACATAGAACTACAAAACTAAACATGAAAGAGTGCTTTTGTTATATCTACACATTTGGTGTTTGTTATACTTGAAATGATTTCCTTTGCACTAATTTTGGAATATGTACTATTAATTCTGTTCTGTCTGCTACATATAAAACAGCTTTTGCTAACAAACTGAAATCTGTTTAGTACATTACACATTTCCTCCAATTTGGTGATTTTGCAGTTCTTTGTATTTTGTCATAAACATTTATAAATGAATAAAAGATTTGGTATCTTCCTCTTGTCAACTATTTTTTTAAAAAATTACTTTTTCTTTTTTTTTCCTCCATCCTTATGTTTGTGTATTGATTTCTTGCTTGTTTATATCTGGTAAATCACTGAACCTACCTGCTTCCTGTATTTACTCTAAGCCCTTTCTTTATTATTCATAGCATAGCTCTCCAGCACCTTCCATTAAACCAATCTTTAATATTTATTATTTATACCCCTTTTTGGAATAAACCATTTAGTTCCAGTTTTATAAATAATACAGAACTCTTTTGTACATCATATCTGTTTCTTGTAATATTATGTATCCATAGTTTCTGTATTTTCTTTTCTTAGTGTCTAGTCATTCCTGTTTTTTTTTTTCTCCTAAGTTATATTTAACAGCATGTTATTTCCATTAGATAATGATCACTATTCCCAAGTGGATTTAGATGGTTTATATTGAAAATTTCTACCTTTGTTCTGGCAAATGTGAGGTCAAAGATTGATGGTGTGTTGCCTTCTCTCACTTGTCACTTTTTTTTTTATACTATATGCCTAGAAATATTTCATTTAAAGGAATGCGTTGACCATTTATGCATTTACAGTTTCGGCCTTCTAGGTTGCCCAGTTTCAAAATGAAAATTTTTATTACTGGTAATATAATGCAGTACTGTTTACAATTATTTTAAGAATAAATGACATGCTATATACAGATTTAAAGGAAATCCCCTGATTATGCAGAGTACTTTGGGCACCTAAAAACTAGGTTAAAACTGTATACAAGACAGTTTTTTATTTTGTTTTATAATTTAATCTTTTATGGAAATGGTGAAATTTTGGTTATAACTTGTACTATAGACATTAAATTTGAGTTGATATGGGTAAATAGGCTGCAGTTGATATATTTGATATCTTTGTAGTTGTAGTCTTCTGTTACAATAATTTTCTTAATGTTCCTTTTTCAGCAATAATTCTCTTTTACTCTTATGTAATCCCCATGTACCTTGCCAGATTCCTCATTTACTGGGGTTTCTATGAATTAACCATCATAATTTTGTCATCTTTATTTTGGATTTCTGCCGCTAAAATTACAGCATTATTTTGTGTGCATTTTAATTTTTGGAGCTTGTTTTGTTCTTTATCACTATTGCCAATATCCTGTCTTTCTTCTCTTCTCTTCATGCTGAGTAGGTTCCATCATATATATATAGTGGTACTTTGACTTACGAGTTTAATTCATTCCGTGACCCAGCTCATAACGCATATATCAAATCCATTTCCTTCATTGAAATTAACTGAAATGCCATTAATCCATTCCAATTGAATTCCTGGCTCTCAGGAGGCAGGAGAAAACACTTAAATATAATGCTAATATCAACTTTATGGCTTACTTATCTATCATAGTTGATCTGATATGACATAATAAACAATACAAATAACATAGAGCATCCCAGGACTTTCAGCAGGCATGCGTGAGCGTGTTTGATAGGAGTGAATGGAGACAAATGGTTTTTTAATACTTGACGTGCTGTTGGAGTGTGAGCAAAGTAACATTTATGAAGGGGTTCAGGGAAACAGGCAGGCCGGACTTGAGTCCTGGAGATGGGAAGTACAGTGCCTGCACTCTGAAGGAGGGGTGTTAATGTTGCAGTTTAAAAACTGTAGTGTAAAGCACCCTTCTGGCAAGACAGTGATAGAGTGAATGATGGTGAAAGTTTTTCTTTTTCGGGCCACCCTGCCTTGGTGGGAATCGGCTAGTGTGATAAAAAAAAAATAACATAGAAACATGATATATACTCTAGAATGAATAAAGTGTGTCATTACGTGACGAGTGGTGGCAGCCACTCCCGAGGTAAAAATAATTATCGCTCTGACCATATCATCCCATTCTTGCCCTTCTGAGGTCTTATTATAAGAGAAAACAGTGTTTGTGAGGCTAACTACACTAGATCATTAGTTTCATAAGGAAAACACTGAAACAAAAGTGATTTTCTTGGAATTTTTTTTTTTCCTGAGTCAGGAGACTGGCCTACATTTTGGGTGAATATCTCAGAAGTAAATCAGCATAAATGCCTCGCGAGAAGGCACGAAGTATATACTACGCTTGTACTGCCTCTCTAAGTCTACTACACGCACCCCTCGCTCGTGTTTTTCTATGATTTCATGCCTTAATTCAATGGACATCATCCTGTTCTCAGCACTGTCCTTTGCACTTTCTTAGGGCCCATGGTTAGAAAAAAGAAATTTGGCAAACTGACCACAAAACGCAAGCACAACACAAGAGAGATTCTTCCACGGTGAGGTAATCATGTGCATTGTTGTGGTTCTCACTGTGCCGACTAGTGGTGGCGTATCTGAAGCTCGCTCGTAACTAGGATTTTGGTTTGCAATTCAAAGCAAAAAGTCTACCGAGTGACAGCTTGTAACTCGGAAAACTTGTACGTTGGGGCACTCATAAGTCAAGGTACCACTGTATGTTTCAAATGTGGTTCGCATTTTAAATTATATATAGTTGCAGTTAGACAATATCAGATTTCTCGTGTATAATGTCAATTAGCTCTTGTTTTGAAATTACACTACTGTACTCCATCTGTGTAGTACAGTATATATTAAATTCTTACAAATACACTTATCTTAATAATAGCCTTTTTATTTGAATTTATTTTAATTTGGTTATTAAAACTCCTGTGCTTGTTTCTTGGAGAAATCCTTTGACAGGTTGGCATGGCCTCGTTGCTCTAAAAAACTTCTCTCTACTCCTTATCCTCATATTATTGTTAATAATTTTTTTTTTCAATACTTCCTTTTGCTTAACCTGTGTGAATGCTGTTTTTGGTGGCCTGTTTTTATCTTTCTCATACTTTCAGTTCTCCTATATCTCACTATTTAATCTTGAATATTGAGATTCTTTAAGTACAGTAGGGCCCCGCTTTATGGCGTTTCGCCTTACGGCATTCCGCTAATACGGTCATTTCAAATTATAACCAAAACTCGCTATACGGCTCCCCCACCTGACTTTCTAATACGGTCACTGCACCCCACCCTGTTTATTTACATTCTCTGTGAGATCCGTAAGCACTAAGTCTCTCCATTATGTCTGGAAACTCCAATAATAATTATAATAATCAAGGGGGGAGCACTAAACCCGTAAGATTATACAGCGCCTGGGGGGGGGGATGTGGAGAGCATTCAGGCTTAATTCGGGGAACCGGAGTACAGATCCAAATCCCCTAAATCAAGAGCCCCTCACCAACATCAAGGAACCTTCCCTGAGGGGTGGAAACTCCAAAATTTCAAGTGTTCTTAAAAGTTATTTCATATTTTATATATAGTACTCTGATAATTATACTTATGTATACCTGTACCTAAATAAACTTACTGTGCTGGCGTACAGGTTCACATTAAAATCAGTAAGTGTGTCTTATATCTCGAGACGTCAAATTAGTAATGATAATAATAATCACCGAGTCTCATTTAAATGTCGTATATTATGTTAATATACACATTTTCATTAATCCATCTATGATTTTTTTTCAAAATTATATAATAAACACGATGCATAACGTATAAAGATGATAAATACACCCACAGTAGAATAAATAAACATAAATATGAGATGTGGTAGCCAGACGACTTGCACAAGTGACGCCATATTAGAAATGATGATAATAATAATCACCGAGTCTCATTAAATGTCGTATATTACGTTAATACGTATACACATTTTCATTAATCCATCCATGATATTTTTTTCAAAATTATAAACGTGATACATAACATATAAAGATGATAAATACACCCCACAATAGAATAAATAAACATAAATATGAGATGTCATAGCCAGATAACTTGTACAAGTGACGGCAAGAATAACATTTTCTCTAGTCTAACATGAGAAAATGTGTTACTGGGGGTAACTGTAGAAATTTATTCCTTTCGTATGTATGTAAGTTTATTCAGGTATACACAAATAGTTACATAGATTATCATACATAACAGCATATGTGTAGAGAACCTAGGATAACCCAAAAAAGTCAGAGTGACTTATTTCCACTGCCTTCACTCAGAGCATCATTTCTTCTAAAAATGGTGTTACATGAGAATGGGAGTGTTCTTCTTTATTTATTCTACCGTATCAATGTAGAGACAACTTGTACACGATGTAACTTGTACACAAACCAGACGTGTACACTTTGCTTGTTTACAAAACTTACGTTCGCCTGGTTTGATTACATAACTCTGCGCCTGTCCTCTCTCATTTATTCGTTTTATCTCGTTTACTCACGTCTGACCCTACATTGAGGCTACAAATATTTTAAGGTAAGGAATGACTGAACTGTATATGCATTTTATCACTCTGGGAGGCTTAAATATCATAGAATAGTATGTGTGGGTGGAATGGCCTGGAATGGTAGCCTGGCTGACTACCATACATACCACACTTGATTTCTTACAATAAATACTACTCATCTCACCCTAGATTAAGACTACAAATATTTTAAGGTAAGCAATGAGTAAACTGTCTATGCATTTTATCGCTCTGGGATGCTTAAATGTAATAGAATATTATGTGTAGGTGGGGTGGCCTGGTATGGTAGCCCGGCTGACTACCATACATACCACACTTGATTTCTTACAATAAATACTACTTGTACCACCCTAGATTAAGACTATAAATATTTTAAGATAAGTAATGAGTGCACTATGTGTGTATTGTACTTTTTTATTGTTTTTTTGATGCCTAGTTCTATTGCTAACTTGATATATGTTAATGTAAACTTGTTAACTAGTATCTGTATGCATTTTTAAGGGGAAAAAAGGGTGTTCCACTTTACGGCGGTAGCCTGGAACCTAACCTGCCGTATAAGTGGGGCCCTACTGTATTTGATTTCACTAATGTGATTTTCTTCCCATTTGTTCCTCTCTCTTTTTGATTTGATTTCTTTTTCAGCATAGCCAGAAACAATAACAGTCTTTTCTGTATACAATTTCCCCCCCTCTATCTTAGAATTAATTTGCTTTGTATATTCTAGCATAGTGGTCCCAAACCTTTCTGTATGAGTGGGCCATATTAAATGGTAAGATGTGTGATGCGGGTTGCACTGTGAAACAGAAGGTGGATTAACATAGTGACTAGCATGACTTTTTTTTTTTTTTAGCAAGTCGGCCGTCTCTCACCGAGGCAGGGTGACCCAAAAAGAAAGAAAATCCCCAAAAGACATAAGACATACTGAAATGAAATACTCTCATAAACTAAGAGAATGAATCAAATCAGTGTACCTCTTTCTGAAATCCCTCATTTTATTGCCAAAATACTGAAAAAAATATGAAGATCAGTATTAAAAATTAAATCACATTTGAAAAATTATAATCTTAAATATAACAAAGTGCAATTGCAAAATAGTTTATTAATATTTAATCAAAAATAAATTAATGCTATGAATAGATAAGCAGAGCATATTAAAAACTTGTTTGTTTAATGTGACACACAAGGCTACTATGTAGTAGAGATCATTAATACAAGGCTGCAGTTTAGTAGAGATATGATGAGCATAAATTTTAATTTTATGACAGGTTGAATGTTCATGAAACCTTTACCGAAGCTTTGACTAAACAGTTTTCATCATTGAAAACATTTGCTCACTAATGTATGTGCTGCCAAAAACTGTGAACATACCGTACCTGTGGCAAACTTCTTTAGGTTCACAGATGTCACGCTTGCACAAAATTATAGCAGACTACTATTTCTTGTAAATGTCTCATTTAGTATCGTTAACTTGCAAATCAATAATTTCCATCTGAAATATTTCACTTGTAATTTGGTGAAACTTTTATTGGATTATGAAACATTCTTGTCTTCTGCCAATGCTTGTTGAAATAAAAAAATTTTAATGCACTCTTTAGGGGCTTTAGTGCTTTATCTCTCCATAAGAATTTGGACAAGAGCTCTTTACAGCAAGGAAGGTGTGAAAATTACCATAATTGACTTCACAAACATATCTTTCCTTCAGAGGCTTTCACCTCGGTATGCATGTCAGACACCAGTTTTCCTGTACCCTGCCTCCTTTGAATAAAATTATTCAAATGTTCTGTTAGATCACACAAGAAAGCCAAATCTCAAATCCATTCAGGGTCAGAAAATGCTCCTTAACCTCTTCTTTATCAGTGAGAAAAGATGTCAAAAATGCATGACACAGCAAAAAGTTACTTGAGGATCTTTCCTCTGCTTATCTGCCTGACTTCAGCATAGAATATATCTCCATAGTCTGTATGTTTTATGCCATGATGCCTGATAAAATTCATACTTGACAACAACTCTAGTCACTTTTTCTAACTGGATAATCTTAATGTACAAAGCCTGCTGGTGAATAATGCAGTAAAATTACTTGGGTAGTTCAGCTTTCAGTTTTGGTACATTTTCACAGTCTTTGCAACTACACCAGTTTACCTCCAACCATGTTCCTTATACCATCGGTTGTCATACTTCTCAGGCAGTGTGACCTAAAAAGAAGAAACCTATAAAGTTTATTTTCTTTTTACATGTAAAAAGAAAATAAGGAGGAGGGGTGTTAATGTTGCAGTTTTATAACTCTAGTGTAACTATGCCTCTGGCAAGACAGTGATGATGTGAATGATGAGTTTTTTTTTTTTTTCAGGCCACCCTGCCTTGGTGGGAAATGGCCAGTGTGTTAATAGAAAAAGAAATAATTTAGTAATTTGTATTATCTGTATTTTTGATATTCAAAACATAAAATTTAGAACCTGGTGAACTGAACATGTAACCTGGATCAATTTGAATTGTCATTTATAACATAAAGAATCAGATTTTATATAATTGGATGGATGGGCAAGTGAAGTACACTAGTGGCAAATCAGTGGGCTGTAACTATTTACATTAAGCTCAGATTTACTTAATATCACTGGTATGTTTACTTAAAAAATATTTTAGTGTTATTAATAGGGGTGTGTTGAAAGAATATTAATAATTTGTTTTATCTTCTAGCCACACTACTATATGAAGCATGAAGTCTTAGGTCTTCCACCACCTCTTGAATTTGAAGAACCTCAGCTGGGAACAGCAGACTGGTCAGGTAGGTCTAATCTTTCAGTGTAAACTTTTATTAATCATTTTCTAAGTTTCCTGATGTTTTCTCCCATCTGTACTCTATTAAATGATCATTTATGTGTTTGTTACTGTAATTTGCCTTCTGTGTTGTGTTTTCTTGCTTTAGTGTTCTGTAGGTTCCTTGTAGACTTTATACTTGCCAGTAATATGTTTAATCTTTTATAGTTTTTTTTTGTGTCTCTTATGGGCTACAAAGTTTCAGGGTTCAGTTTTGCTTAAATATGAGGGGTTTCCTTTTTGTAGTTGCAAGAGCAGGGCTTTGCTCGTGATATCCTGTGTTCAGTGTTTAGCTTGTGTGTTTGTGGTCGTGAAAACTGACAGCTGATTGTTAATCTTATGGGTTCGAACCTGTTTTTGGGGCTATAATGTGTTGACACAATGACCCTATACCAATCAAGTTGACAAAGTGTGGTGTATTGGGCTTCCTTGTGCCTGCCACAGTTCGAGCATTCATATACAGTATGTTCAGTACAGTATATAAAAATGGGTTGCATTTTTGTCACTTGGCTTCTGCTCTAACTTCAGAAAACTTCTTCACATAACCTGAAAATTACCAGTGGTTCATCATGGCAAAATTGATGTTTATATTTTAATTGTAGAATGTAGTCCTCTATTGGTCATTTTTAGAAGCCGCTATTTTGGGTCTCATGTTCTATCTTCTGCAACAACAGCAGAGCTACATCAAATTGACTACTGCATGCTATACACTACTATGCTCCCAGTAATCTCAGGTGTAAATAGTACCACATAAATCTGTCAGATTAGGGAAGTTATAAAAAAAAAATATTTTAACTTTGGTTAATATCTCAAAAGCATTTTGTAGATCACTTTCAGTTTGGCATGTTGGCATTACTTAATATTCTATTTATCCCCAAGGGAAAATTGCCTCCCATATTGATTTTTTTTTTTAATAAGTGAGGGACTACAATTTTTTGTTTGATTGAAGATTTGTTCTGCATGTCTGCAACATGCACAATAAATTTGTCAACCTCAGGAAAATCTCTGAAAGTCGCCACACTGTAATTGTTAATTTTCTTTAGTGTTTTAGACCAACACAAATTGACATAAAAACCTTAAAGTTTTTGTTGATTACTTATTATTTTTTTGTGGGTGGGTGAAAGGGTGTTGTATCGTGTTTGTTGTGTGTGTGTCATGTTTGTGTATGTCGTGTGTGTGTATGTTGTCTTGTGCGTGAGCACTTGCTTATTTTTCATAAATGTTAGTTTTTGTTTTTACTTATTTTACATAAATGTTAGTTTTTGTTTTTACTTATTTTACATAAATGTTAGTTTTTTACATATTGTCTGAAAGTCTATTAAAAATGCAGTATTTTTCAAAATATACTTATTGTTAATATATAAAGAAAATGTAACCAAAGCTAAATATTTTATATCCATTTACATTGGGGCTCGAGGCTCTAATGTGTATGCTTACCTCAATTTTTACTTTATAGGCCTTTTTTTTTTTAATAGATTTTCTTATGTGAACAAACATGGCTGTCACATCAGTTAGCTGAAAGTTTAAGCATTACCAAGAGCTGGAGATCATGTCTTCCACACAAAAATAGATAGCTACAGTGAAAGAGGGAGACTGGGGTAGATAAAGGGAATAAGAAAGAAATAGAGACAAAGTGGGGAAATTCAGTAGAGAGGAATGTTTAGTAGTTGTATAGTATACTGTGCTTTGACTATTTGAGTCCGTTGTTTTTTGTTCGAGATATTCTAGCACTGGAGGCAGGGGTAATTGGAAAGCTGTGATACCTCACTTAATATTATACAGTTGGTCCCTGCTTTAGACCCTAATGCATTCCTAAAAATTGTTAGTTTCTCAAGTGTTCAGGACTTTGAACCTATTTTATCCTGAACATCCACATTATAATCAGAGATGTGCTTCTGAACCATAATATTCCATATCTAATTTAACAATGAAATTAAAAATATTGTATACTACCAAGGTGAATCTCTCTTCCTGCCTCTTTCTCTCCCTCCTATTCTTTCTCTTACTCCTTTACCTACCTCCCACTCTCCAATGTACTCCATCTCACCCATTGAATTTGACACCACTACATATACTCTTCACCCTCTTCACTGATGAAAGTGAGGGTATAATTTGTATGGGCATATGGTGCGAGGAAAGTCATCACAGAATATCCATGCTTGTGAATAGCAAGTAAAGATGATGTTTTGGTTCAACGTGAACCATTGTGAAAGTAATTGCATTCAATGGTAGGGATGATGGGCAAGTTGTGGCGTAAGTACAGTAAGGTGAGTCGGGGTAGGGAGAGGAAGAAGAGGGTGTTGCCTGTCTTTCCCTATGACCACCAGTCTGGGACTGTGGCATCATCCTGTCTCTCTGGCATCCTGACCATATCCCCTTCCTCAATCCCTTGCCTGCCAACCACTGACAGGTACTAGATGTGGGTAACTGTGCCAGTAAACTTCATAATGTAAGTAATAACTAAAGTTCTTTACCACTCTTCTTCCAAACATACATAAAATGAACATACACACATCAGTTGTCTTTTAGCATGAAGGGTCTGGCAGGTTTTCATTCAGTGGACCCAGTCTGCTGCATTGGGCATTTGTACTGTTACGATCGTGTAAAATAAATTTTTTTGGGATCAGTGGACAGTCGGGTCTATTGGATACCCCCACTTCCTTATTAGTATGTTATATCAAGGTTCACTTATGGTTGACTCATTTAACACAGTAGTTACATTCCTTAAAATGGCATGTAAATGAAACTGTGTAAAATGAACTGAAGAATTTTTGGGAAAGATAGGGTTATGTACCTGGGCCCCCTGCACCCCCATCCCTAAAATGCCAAACAATTATTTTTTAATAATTAAATGAAATAAAAATTTATTTTATTTTGTATGAGACTTTCAAAGAAGTTAGAGTACTAATGCATGCCAGTTGATTGTGATTTAGATGGTTATCTTAGGATAATACAGATATAATTTGGTATGGTTGCAGGTTCAGAAGAAAGCTGGTAATTATTCAATGCATTTTGGGCAAACTAATCATAAGGCTTACATAGAGTATCAGTACAGCTCGAGTAATCCATGACAGTAACAAGTACAATCGAACAGGTTGCAAATGACAGTTTGGTCAATTACAAATAAATTATAGCAGTTCAATGACCTGCATTTTGTAGAGTGGTTGAATTGAAATGGTAAAATCAGAACATGAGAATTTTTAGAATTAATGGATATAATCTTTACTTGAGATTTAATAGGTATTTTTTAGTAATGTTAGTAAAGAAGTTGTCATTTTTGGGGCCTTTAATTTTCATTGAATTTTTGAATGGGTTGAGCCATTAATGTGGAATGTCAGAGGTACTTTTTACTTGTATTGTGTTCTGCTGCAGCTCTTCAGATAGAATTGAAGCTCTGGGTTCATGTGTGCATCAACTGTTCTGCAGACATAGGGTGCACAGTAGAAAATGTGAATATTTTGTGTTAAGCAAATTTAAACTTGTAATAATGTTGGAAGAATTACTGACAATATGTCAGGTAAAAGGACACAAGTGCAACTGATGTGTTATTTTATTGTGCCACATTAAAATGTTGCAATAGTTGCACTTGTGTCCTTTTACCTAACAAATTTAAACTTGAATGAAGGGGTGTGTATTACTGGAGTCTGAATGAGTAATTATTTTGATAGCTGATTTTTACTGACCAATAACAGATTTAAAATATTAGCTATTGTTGATCCTCATGCAAAGAGGCCATAGGTTGAATATGGATAGATTAGAGAGTCGTGCAAAGTGAGCAGAGATGCATGGAGGACATGATATCCTATTTTTGAGAGTCACTCACTCACTCACTCTCTCTCTCTCTCTCTCTCTCTCTCTCTCTCTCTCTCTCTCTCTCTCTCTCTTTCTCTCTCTCTCTTTTTTCTCTCTCTTTTTCTCTCTCTTTTTCTCTCTCTCTCTTTTTCTCTCTCTTTTTCTCTCTCTCTCTTTTTCTCTCTTTTTCTCTCTTTTTCTCTCTTTTTCTCTCTTTTTCTCTCTTTTTCTCTCTTTTTCTCTCTTTTTCTCTCTCTCTTTTTCTCTCTCTCTTCTTTTTCTCTCTCTCTCTTTTTCTCTCTTCTCTTTTTTTCTCTCTTTTTCTCTCTCTCTCTTTTTTCTCTTTTTCTCTCTCTCTCTTTTTTTCTCTTTTTTCTCTCTCTCTTTTCTCTCTCTTTTTCTCTCTCTTTTTTCTCTCTCTCTTTTTCTCTCTCTCTCTTTTTTCTCTCTCTTTTTTCTCTCTCTCTCTTTTTCTCTCTCTCTCTTTTTCTCTCTCTTTTTCTTTTTTTTTCTCTCTTTTTCTCTCTCCTCTTTTTCTCTCTCTCTTTTCTCTCTCTCTCTCTTTTTCTCTCTCTCTTTTTCTCTCTCTCTTTTTCTCTCTCTCTCTTTTTCTCTCTCTTTTTCTCTCTCTTTTTTCTCTCTCTTTTTCTCTCTCTCTTTTTCTCTCTTTTTTCCTCTCTCTTTTTTCCCCTTTTTCTCTCTCTTTTTCTCTCTTTTTCTCTCTCTTTTTCTCTCTCTCTTTCTCTCTTTTTCTCTCTCTCTTTTTCTCTCTCTCTTTTTCTCTCTTTCTCTCTCTTTTTCTCTCTTATAAAAATGTGTATGCATGCGTGTGCCTGCCACCCGCCCTGTCCAGGTATATGCCCAAGCATTTACTCTCGTCTTGCCTAGTGATTGTTGTAGCATTTATCTTCAAGTGAACATTTTTTACTTTACCAAACACATAGAAGGTGTCAGTATTGAGTATGAGTTTGTAGTTGTGATCCATGAAGATTTTAAAGCAAGTTTGGCATTTACCCTGTTAAGTGCTGTCGGATTTGCATATGAAATGACAAAAAATTATCATCTGCAAACACAGTTGGTTTGAGTCCCTGTGAAGCATTAGAAAAATCATTGATGAAGATAAGGAACAGAAGATGGCCGAGGACACTAGCTTGTGGAACTTCCATGTTGATTGAT